GCACCTCCACCTTTAGCCCGTGGTCGCCGTCTGCTGCCCCTCCACGCACTTCAGTTTCGCCAACAATTCCTCTCGCTGCGCAGCAGATAGACGTTGCAGCAAGTCAGGGTCTGCCGTGTCCAGCAGTCCCAGAGAGCCCACGCCACGGTAGCCGGAAACGAGACACGAGTCACCCACTGCAGGGTCCACAGCGGACAGCGTGAGGCCACCGCCTGCGGTCTCCGCCAATCGTCGAAACTCCTCCACATGTGCATTGGGCTCAATTTTTCCCGAGGGTGAAGCGGCAGGTGGCTTTAGGGCAAGAAGCGCAACATCAGCTGAGGGGTGAAGTGCCACCAGACGCAATTCTACGAAGCTGGTGGCGATCGCGCGTCCCTCGCTATCCGGTAAATACAAATGCACGACCACAAACCTTGTCTTGCGATACGTCTCCGGGATTTTCAGCCGAGCTGGATCTGCGATGAAGTGCCATGGTGCAAACGTGTGCTTCGCGGAGAGGAGGAACAGCCTTCCAAGAGCCGCGGTGTCGTGCGCCGTTTGCAGCAGGCAGGCAGTTCCCATCATAAGCCAAAGAGGCTGCGACATTTTTCCCGGCACGTGTAGAAAACTCATGACAGGAAAGCAGCTACTGTGCCCGCGGGAAGATGCCGCCATTGCTTTGATGCTCACGACAGCCTCACACCCAACCTGAGAGCATGCATACAAAAAAAAAAAGAAAAAAAAAAGAAAAAAAAAAAACAGGCAGTGGGCATGGGCGTGACCAGACCACAAGTCCAGTCAAAAGTGTCTTCTCCACCCCTCATTCACAGTGTCCCATCCGGGTTTAAAGATATTGCTCAATAAAGCCACGCATTAGCGGCGATCCCAGGCAACCCCACTGCAGTCCCCCAACGTCTTCATTTTCTCCTCTTCTTCCTTCGCATCAGAGCACTGCAAAAGAGAGGCGTAAAGCACTTTACTGTTTTCACCTCCATCATCCGCGGAGACATCTTTTAGGGCTGCACGATACAACTCTCCGTGTGTCTCGGACATGTAACGACAGAAATCTGCCGCCGTACTGAGCCTCATTAAAAGCAAACGGCAGGATGGATGTTCACAATCACGGAGGACGTGCTTCGTCGCAAATAAAAGAAAAGAATTGTCTTGCAAAATGAAAGGCAATGATGACACGGTCTGTGCATCGTATAGCCGATGCACCACATCGTAGACCAGACCGCATAATTTTCGTTCCTCCCCTTTTCCCCGTAACAGACAAAGAAGAGGTGACAACAATTCCACAAGGCGTTCCTTGATCCACAAGTGGCACGCAACCTCCTTCACAACAGCATCCTCCAGATGCAGCATGTTGTATAGTAAGCTCAGAAGGCCTGCATACAATGAAAAAGGCAATGGAGATTTATCGAGAAACCGAAGTGCTGCCGTAAGAAGGCCTGCCACCGCCTCAAGGGTTGCACGGGTGTGGCTTGCCTCGCTGCGCTCCAGGATGCCGCTCAACACAACCAGAGCCGCACTGAAGTCTTCCCAGCTATTCACGCTTTCCGTTCCTGGTGCAGACTCTGATGTGCTGGCAAAAAATAACTCCATACGTCTTAGCAACACGGGGACGACAGATGGTCCGGCCTGAGCAATCACGTCAAGTACACTGCTGCACAATTCATCATCTGTCATGAGCGCCAGCCCTAATTCAAGAAGAAGATCAGGTGAAACGGCATCTTGAGATGTAGCAATGAGAAACGCAATTGCCTCAAGAATATCGCACTCCTTTAGCGGCAAACGTCGTGGTTCTGTTTTTGGCACGTGTCTCGTCACACTTACCAGAAACGGAAGCAAATTTAGAGCCTCGTCGTTCTTTTTTGTGTCACCCGTATCGCCCTTCACTTCTTCGTTGACATGACACTCTTCTTTCTTTAACAAATATATCTGACAGCATCGCGTCAAGGAAGCACACAGGAGTCTGATAAATTCCTCATCCTCAAATAAATACGCTCCACCATCCTCGGAAGCCGTGACGGTCTCTAAGAGAGTGTTCCAGAATGCACGTGCGTAGCCTGGAACACTCTCCTCCCACGCCTGCAGTCGCCGTGAGGCCAAGACTATGATTTCAATCCATTCAAAAGTGACACTTGATGGTAGTCTAGCAACAATGACCGCCATGATGTTAAGGGAGCCAATGAGATAGACGGCATCCAGCTCGCTTAGGCTAGAATTCTCACCGAGCGCAAGGACGGTGTTCATGTACTCATAGTCCAATACGAGGGTGGCCGCCAGGGGGTATGCCTCTGCAAGTAGTGTCAAGGCGGAAACAGCAGCTTCCAAAACCTTCGCATTTGTTCGTGCCTCTGTGGCAATTGTGCCGATGCATCCAAGTGTACTTTCCGGCAGCAGTCGCATTGCATCGCCGCCCAAAAAGGTGATTGTCTTGAGTACAAGTAACAATGCCGATTCCCCTTCCGTACCGTTCACCAAGAGCGAAATGTTCGAATCTTGGCTCATATCTTGCATGACCTCGCACATTATGTCGATGCATTTTGATGCCAATATAACATCTCGCCCCTCATCCGAGAATCGAATAAGCGATTGAAGTAATTGGAGTGCCCCCACAACGACACTGTTGCTGTAGTCTGTAAGTAAATCCTCCAAAAGCACAACGCCACCAAGCAGAAAAAAGTGTTCCACCAAACAGTTCTTGTAGTAAAAGGCGTCAAACCCCTTGTAATGGTTACGCGCTTCTCGTTTTGTTTGTTTCCCTGAAGTTGGCGCCGCCCACTCCTGCCCCCCAATCGCACAGGCAAGAATTGTGCAGGCGCATGCGCTGACGTTTTCGTCCACACCACTGGCTGCCGCAAACACAGCCTTCAGGGCACCTGGTAACAACACCAGCAGCGCAGCTGCCATGCCCGATGGGGCGTGTGAATGGAAAAGAAGGCGGGCGATAGCGTCAAGATCCTTCACACGGGCCGCGCTGTCAAATTGATCCCTCTGCAAAGAGTCGAGTGCCGCACTAAGAGCAGCAACAGGAACTTCATCCCCGCCAGTCGCCAACGCCGCACTGAAAGTTTGCGTCACGTTCCCTTCTTGGCTCGCGTCTACCGTGGGCAAGTTGGTGAGCATGGCAAGACATTCATCCACACCTCTGTCGAGTTCCGTCTGTGTGAGACGCAAAACAATGAGTAGCTGCAGAACCTCATCCTTCACACATACGTCGTCCCGCACACTCGCGAGGGTACAAAGGCGTTTCAGCCGCGAGACAACAGCACCACGCGCCGTGCTCGTCACACTACAGGACGCACGCACCAATCCAAGAAACGCCGTAAGAAGGCTAGATGACATACACATTCCATCGCTGAACCAAAGACTATCCAGTCGCCTCCAGAACTCATCGTCGCAAAGCAACCGCGACGCCATTCGCTCGCCATCGGACGCCAACTGCACCGCCCAACCAAACAGCGACAACGCCAACCTCGCCACTGCCGTGTTGTCAACAAAGACGAGCGCCACACAAGATGCAAAATTCTTGCTGATGCCGTCCATTAGCGTGTCGGCACGGGCGCCGGACACCGCCATGGCCGACGCAAGCTGCAACACAGCCCCATCTGCATCTTCGTAGCCGCAGCAGTCTCCTACTCGCGACAACAGTGTAGACAAGTAAGAAGGACATCCCTGCGCCAGAAACGGCAACAACAGTCGGTGTGAATTGACCTCTTGCAAGAGCGCTCGGCAACGATCTGGTAACCACGTGGCGTCGCCGCCTCGCCGCACTTCACGTTCAATTCGCTCCACTTCACGCATCAATAACTTGTGTTGGTCAGGGAACTGCCGCGCCAGACGCGCCATGATTTGCTGTGCCCGCCTTCGACCCATCAACTACGCCAAAGTAAAGCAGCAACACAAAAATGATATCACGCTCTTCCGTTGCTGCTCCCGCTTCTCGCCCAACTACTCGCCGTAATTTATACCCACACTCGCTCCGGAACCCCAAACTGTTCTTTTTTTTTTTTGCAATTTTGTTTCTTCCCCCCTCCCCCCACACAACAACACCTTTTTTTTTTTTGTGTGTGTGTGTGTGTTTTTGTGTGTTTCTTCGGCCCTTTCCGTTCCTCGGCTGCTCTTGGAAGGCGCAGCCCACTCCCAGCTCTCTTTTTATTGTTCCGCCTACGCTGCACGAGCCCCACTTTCTCTTTCTATCCTGAAAGAAATAAACCAAAAGGGAAAAAAGAAAAAAGAAAACAGCCAGCCTTGGCACCTCCAGCACGGCAGCGTCATCTCGTCAGTACGCCAACACACCGCCACTGACCACCAAACCTCTGCAATCACATCTGTGTGTGCGTTTGTATCGGGCGCATACGATTAAAGAACTTCACCCTTCTTCCTTGTAGTCATTCAATAGGCTTTCCGTCCCCTCACCTCTCTTAGATTTCGATTTCCTGTTTTCTTCCATGTTGCGTTCCTTTCGTTGGGCATGGGTCCTCCTTTTATTTTATTTTCCTCTTCCTGCCATCAAGTAAGTAGTCTTTCGCCTCTCCTCCCGCGGATGTTTCATACGCTCCCTTCATGTGGAGGGAGCGGAAAACAAAAAAACAAACAAACACACACAGATGCGCACAAAGAAAGAGATGGAAAAACAAAGGAAGAAAAAAAAAATAGGGGCCGTCCATCACTTTCGGCTGCACGACGACGAGCGTTACTCACGTCGCCACCACCCCTCATCCACCTCAAACACGCCCCTCTCATGCGCGTAAAAGAAAAAAAACGGCACGCACTAGTTCGTGCGAACGCTGTGCATGTACACACATCCACATTTAGGAAGGCCGCGCCAAGCCCTTCACGACCTCGCTGACGTGCTCCGCGTTGCGGCACCTCACCCATCTGAGGTCAATACCGCCCCGTCCGCCGCTGCGCCGTATGGGAACACGCACATAAATGCTGCTTTCATCAATGTGAAGGTAAAAGTTCCGCTCCGTCACACCGCCGCGCGTAAAAACGCGATAAAATGGAGGTCTGGATTGTTGGCTAACCTCAGCAAAGACATATGTAAAGCCAAGACCACTCTGACGCTGAGCATCCAGCGCATCTTGTACATCGCGTGCGCTTTCAACAAACCGTCGGTGGCTGCGGATGCTCCGCACAAGAGCAACCATCGGAGCGATGAAATTATTCAGAAACTCATCTACATCACCAAACTCCACCTCGCGTCCCGTCAATTTGTCCTTCAGGCGGTAGTAAATGGCACCGTTGGGACGTCGTTCCTCACTGATAAGCCAGTTGCACGTTGACCGTTCACCAATCTTCACCACCGCAATGGCCTTGTTGCGCCTTCCAGTCGCCGGACGAAGAATCACCTCCCCAATCCGTTTGTCGTGAAGATATGTTTGTGCTGTGGCGCTGGTGGTGTCGCGAAACAGCGGATGGCGCGATATCTTCGTTGCAAAGACACGGGCGTCAATATTCATCCGCACCGTACGGAGAGAATTCGCGCTGCTAATCGCATCGTTAACACATGTGGCATAGGACAAGTAGTGGTTATCGCTGTCCACACCGTCCTTGCCGCCTTGTTCCGCATTACCGCGATTCCCATTAGAAATGGTGTCACGTGGTCGACACCACCGCAGGCGTAACTCACAGCGCTCCCAATTGCAACCAAAGACAATGCCCTGAATGGGCACACCACGACGCAACCAAGTTGGAGGTGTCAAGTTTGATGGAGGTTGCGGCATGCCAGCATTCTCACGCACGGATTGTTCATACAGGAGCACATCCTGCCTCATTGTCTCATCGTCAATATCTTCTGCAGCGATAAAGGCGCCCAACCCAAATGATGTCGAAACACGAATACCCGGGACAGCCACACCCCCACGAACGCCTTGCACCGTCCCCATCACGTAATCCCCTTCACAAATGACTAGGGAGCGTGTGTCAACCGAGCGAGTATCGGAATACGCGCTGGATTGTGTGCAGTACACGATGCCCGTCACAAATGACATAAGTTCCCTGTCCGACAGCCGCCGATATGGCCGTCGCAGGAAAGACTGACCCACTGTTATCATCTCTTCCTGCAGGAACTCCACCTCTCTTTCACCCAACAACGAATCCCACTCAGGGCGACGGGCCTCGCGAATGGCAGTAATCATCTTCCGCTGATGGGCATGACGGTCGATCCGATCACGCTTTTCTGACGCCTCCAGCCGCATAAATTCTACAAGTGCAACAAGTCTGGAAGGGACACCTTTAAGCGCCGCACTTGCAACAAATGCCGCAGCACTGTACCACTCTCGTGGTATCAACGTCTGATCAAGAAGATGCCACCGGGAAAAAGATCCTCCATTGTCAGTAGAAGCATCACTTGGGGGCCCAAAACGCAAAGATGAAATCGCATTATGGGAAACATATGCACCAAAATACTCTTTAATGAGCTGGCCGCACTCCTCACGACTATTCGGGCGACGCAACGTTAGCAGTTGGTGCAGTTTGCGAGCCCTTGATGGACCAAACCCCGCCAAAAACTGCAAAGACGCCACGCTTGTCGGTCGAGTAACGCAGTCCTCCACCCAGACTCCGCATGCAGTAACCCACAAGCTCATTTCCCAACAGAGCCGCGCGTACAATTGATCCTCTTGCTCACCCGTTACATACACTGTAGCACCAAGGGAAAGACGTAGTGCCGTCCTTTCCTTGTCAAAAAGAACGCAAATAGCATGAAGAGGATCTTGTACGTAACGCGCCAAGGCCAAAGACGTGCGGGCAAGAGAGTCAGCCCCAGGAATCTCAAGTTCCGCAAAAGTTGTGCTGCTGTACAAACGCGCCACCTCCACCGGAGCCCAAACAATAGGAATGTGTACATGAAACGCCGCGTACACGCGCCCCCGCAGAAATTTTAACAAAGAGCGCATTAATGAGAGGGACGCCATGTTGGAAGCCCCGACGACAATTACACTAGGGCTGCACCTTGCACAGAGTTTCTCAAGTTGGTTCTGCTGCATCAAATCGGCTGCTCGGCCAGTCTCAGAACTCCATGCAGGGTTCTCCCAACGTGTAGAACCAATAAACGAACCAGACTCATCAATAAAGCTTATATGTGTTAGGCCGCTATCACCGCGGTAGGCGGCACACACGCGTCTAAGCGTTTTGTAACCATTGACGTGCAATTGCTTCAATGGGAGGGCTTCGACCACATTCCACTCCGGTTCCCACGTGAGGGCATCGTCATCGTAGACCTCAAGACAAAGTCTTGTGGGCTCATATGGGCCTTGTGCACAAATAAGGCCAAGACGCTCCATAGCCTGTGTTTGCACAAACTGCTGTGCAAACTGGCTGAGCTCGGCCTTCACCTTTGGTATAAGACCATCTATTAGTCGCACCAACAAAAGCTCCATTGCCCGCTCTCGTTCTAAAAACCACTCGTCCGCGGCAGGGGAGCGATCATACAGTTGGCGTAGATTCATCTCACGGCAGACTAGTTCCTCACTCAAAACATAGTAGAGTGCCACTGTGCCTTGCCGCTCACGCTCCAGTAAATCCAGATAGTGCCGCGGGTGCTCTACAAAAAAAGTGGCCAATGGATACACATCGTCCCTCCTTTCACAGAGTTTGTACGTCACAATAAGGTCCCCCTCCGCACAAAATACGTCAAATAAACGCTTTCGAAGGATAGGCAGTTTTGAAAACTGCTCAACAATGGCCTGGTTAAAAAGAAATAATACGGCCTCAGCAGAGCGCGGGGAACGAGCGGTGGCACCAACTTGGCGTGCCCAATCCATCAGTGGCATCGATTGCGGCGACTGACACACGTGAACTGGCGCATTAGCAAGCAGGTTCTCTTGGTACTGCAGTCCAGTAATAGTGTACTCCTCAAATGCGTCCTCAAGACCGAGACCTTTTATCACTTGCGTCGGACCCCGCCCCTGGCCTACGGTAAGGAGACCAGAAAACGTTTGCCAAAGATCTGCCTCAATGCCGCTCTCAAAAACAAGGCTCTCCAGCGCCACCCGCTGCTCCTGCACGCACGACTCCGGGTGATCCTTCAGCTTTAGCAGCAATTGCTGCCGCTGACTTTCTAGCCGGTGACAGAGTACATCGAGTTCAAGGATGCGCACCAACAGGCGACCCAGTTCCAAAAAGCATGGCTTGCGCTGGGCGAAGTCGGCCTCATTGCTGCCAAAAAGGTTCCACGCAGGGTCACCCTCACCAATCGAACGGTCAGCCAAGGCGTGAAACC